TCTAGGTTTACGTTCGTCCGTTTCCCCCACACTGCGGCCTGTAGGTGTGCCCCCTGTCCCTCTTGTGCCAGAGATACCCATTGTTTGCGTTGTTGCGGATCTGCGTGCAGGTCTAGGATGCATTGCATGACAGTAGCTTGATGGTATCTTTTAAAGTCGGGTAGTGCCAGGCCCCCTCTATGTCGTGGCAAGCATAGGATTTCGTGACGGAGTCTTGAGCGTTCGCCTCTCCAGACGTAGTGGATGACTGCTGATTTCAGCTTGGCAAAGAAGGATGATGGTATTGCTAACGGAGTCGTCTGGAACAGATATAGGAGTCTCGGTAGGATGTTCATTTTCAGGACTGCAACGCGTCCATGCCAGGAGACTTGTGGATATGCCCATTTAGTTAGGTCCGTCAGTATAGTATTCAATAGCGGCGCAAAATTTTGTGAGTACAGGTCTTTCGGGTCTTTCGTTATCCATATCCCAAGGTACCTCATTTTACATGAACACCACCGGAAGGGGAATAGTGCTGCTAGTGCTGCGTACTCCTCCTCCGGTAAAGTGATGTTTAGTACCTCACACTTGGACAGGTTAAGCTTGAAACCCGCCATTTTGCCAAAGTGTTCAGTTACAGCCAAGATGTTGGGCATCGTAATTCTGGGGTTGGTAACAAAGAACATAAGGTCGTCCGCGTATGCGGCCACCTTATGTTCCGTTCCCCGCCAGGATAGACCCTGAATGTCCGGGTGTTGTCTAATCGTCTGTAATAGGGGTTCCAGAGACAGGGCAAATAATAATGGTGAAAGTGGGCAGCCCTGTCGCGTACCATTAGAGATCTCAAACTGTGCTGTGAGCGCTCCATTTACTCTCACCGCGGCCTTTGGTTCGTTGTATAGTGCGCGTATCCATGTGAGGAGTCTGGGTCCCAACCCCATTTGGGTTAGAGTAGCAAGCATGTAGGGCCATTTCACCCGGTCAAAGGCCTTTTCGGCATCTGTGGAGAGTAATAGAAGTTGTTTTCGCGCCGTTCTCGCTCTGTGTTGTATTGCGAATAGCCTCAGGGTACTGTCTCTTGCTTCCCGACCGGGGATGAACCCCGTTTGGTCCTCGTGAACCAGTGATGGGAGGGCCCTTTGAAGTCTAGTCGCTAGAACTTTCGTGAACAGCTTAGTGTCCACGTTTAGCAAGGATATCGGGCGGTAGCTTCCGCAGGCCGTCGGGTCTTTCCCAGGTTTTGGTAGTACAGTTATTATAGCTGCCAGGGATTCTTTTCCAAATTTTCCCCCCTCGGCCACTGCGTTGATGGCTTTAGTCAGCCATGGCAGCAGGATCGGTGAGAAGGTCTTGTAATATCCAGAGGGGAGGCCATCTGGGCCTGGGGCCTTTCCCGTTTTGGTAGATTTCAGGGCTGCCTGGATGTCTTCTGCTGTAATCTCGGCGTCCAGTTCTTCTGCGGCATCTGGGTGTATTGTTTTCGTCACAGTCTCTTTTAGGTATACCTGTGTACTGCTATGGTCGGCTCTCCCGTCCTCCCCTCTGTCCCGGTCCTGTAGGTTGTACAGTGATCGGTAGTAGCGCCTGAATTCTTCGGCTATTTGGTCAGGGAATGCCGTCGAGGCGCCCGAAGGCAGGCGCAGGGTGCGGACCTGCGTGCGAGGGGCATTGCCTTTTAGAAGCCGTGCTAGGTATTTGCCTCCCTTGTTGGCATGGGTGTAAAAAAAGCCCTTAGATTGTTGTAGCGAACGTAGGTGGCGTTTTGTAAGGAGATCTCTCAGTTGGCGTCTGGCTTGCATTAGTTCCCCATAAGTTTCCATTAGCTGGGTCCTCTTGTGTTGCTGTTCTAGTGTCGTGATCGATTTGTAGAGTTCTGCCATTTCTCGGGTGGCTGCCTATTTCTTTTTAGATGCGATCCGAATGAGGGCGCCCCTAATCACGCATTTGTGCGCTTCCCAGATAGAGATCGGTGAGGTTCCTGGCGTGTCGTTTTCCTGAAAATAGTGAGTTAGTTCTTCCGATATTTGCCCACGAGCCTCCTGATCAAGAAGGAGGGCCTCGTTGAGTCTCCATGTCCATGTGCAGGGTCGGAAGAGTGGTGATTCGAGTTCAACGGTCACAGGGCCATGATCTGACCACGTCGCTGGGTCAATTTTGGCGGAGATTAGGCGCGTTAGTCCTACTTGTCTTATGAAGATGTAGTCGATACGCGAGTATCTGTTATGCAGCGGGGAGTAGTAGGTATAATCCCTAGTAGTAGGATGGAGGGTCCGCCAACAGTCCACGAGATCCATATCTCCTAAGGTCCTTTGTATGGAGCGTATATGAAGTTGGTTGATGCTACTGTGGCCCGTCGATGAGTCCACGATGGGGTTTAGGGTTGCGTTAAGGTCACCCCCAAGGACTAGCGTGCCCTCGGAGAAACCTTTAAGCTTATCTAGCGTTGTCCTGAGGAACTGAGCTTGTCTTTTATTGGGTGTGTAGACATTAGCGAGAGTGTAGAGCATCCCTGCAATTGTCCCCTTCAGGAATAAAAAGCGACCCTGGTCGTCCTGCATGCTGTCCAGCGGTTGAAATTCCAGGTCTCCAGCAATCAATATGGCAACGCCCGCTTTTCTGGTCATAGGGTGATCGCAGAAATGGTTAATCGGGTAGTGTCTATTCTGGAGTTTGGGGGCGGCGTTCTTTCGGAAATGTGTTTCCTGCAGTAGCGCGATTTGTATGTGCCTTCTCTTCATCTCTCGTAATATGTGAGATCTTCGTTCAGGCGCATTCAGGCCCCTACAGTTAAGGGTGAGGACAGTCAGGGGAGCGGGGCGATACGCTCTCGCGTCCCTGGATGCAGCGCTGTTGGCCATCCCTTGGTGCCCACCCCCTGTTGCGTTCAGCCCGCGCTAGGGACCCGGACCCCCGCCGTGCCCCCCCAAGTAAAGGAGCAGTAGTGAGGAGGGGCTGGGAGGGGGATGATATAAAAGAAAGTGAGTAGTAGAAGAGCAGAGAAGAAGATTAGGGATAGAGAAGAGGGAGAGAGAAGAGAAAGTGAACAGTTGCCCGGATAGATGGGCACTGTAACCGGGATAGGAGATATCTCGGTTGATCTACCCCTGGTGAAGGGGTGGCTCGTGCTACGGACAGCAGCCCCGTGGGTTCGCCTTGGTAACCAGACCAGAGGATCAGAGCCCGTGAGGTTCCGCCGTATGTGTATAGGCACGAGTGTGGTGTGAGGTGAGTGGTCCGTACCCGTCCAAGTGGAAAAGAGTGTGTGTCTCTTTCGGAGAGCTCGTATCCGCCGCTTCCCGTGATAGTTAACATTCTAGAGTAGTATATAAGATCCATCTCAAACATTTGGCCAAAGCCCAAATTAACAGTGTAACAATATCGGGTATATTTTTCATAAGCAAGATCACATGTATTTGCGTTCTATCCCGGCTCCTTGGCAGTTTGGTGTGAGCCAGGGGAACTCCCATGGCTTGTGTCTCGAACCCCCTCCCAGGTCCCCCCTCCCCCCAAGCTGTCGCAGGGTTATACGTCAAGTCACCCAAGGTGTGAGTGGGGAATTGCTACTATCAGCTCTCCACCTAACGTGGTGTTTTCTCCCCTCCCCTGCGTCACCTCATTGATTCTCAGGTCACAGGATGTGGGCCACGGTCGTATCCCTCTGTGGGCCTCTTAGGTTTGTACCCGGTGTCAGTACGTGATTGGGGGGTGGTGGAGGTGGCGCCCCCAGCGTCGGCAGCATATTCCATCCCTTATCACTATGTAGCTGTCTAAGTCTCGTCTAGCTAGACATCCCGCCCCCCCCCCCGTGGACCCGTGACAGTCGTGCTCTTCATGGGTGGTGTCTATATCATTTAGCGTGTGAGGGCCCCCCTGTTTTTTTTGTTTTGTTTTTTAAAATTTTTAAAAGACTCCCCCCCCCCTTTGTCGTCTCATAGCTTCTAGTATGGGTGTTGGCTTTGGGATAGTCGTCTTCTCCCTACTTCCTTCTCCCGCCCTACCTGTATTTATCTGTCAGGTGGGGTTGCCCATGTGAGCGTAACTTTATGTGTCCTTTTCCCTAGGCCTCAACCCCCTCTCTTATTTCCCAAGGTTGATCTTTGGGTAGTTCCCATTTGTCTGTCGTGAATATTCGCCTGTCTTTGGCTACGTGTCAGTGTCCCAGTATGCCCCGTTGGTTGGTCGTCTCTAGTCTACCCCTCACTCATGTGGGGGGGTTCAGCATAGTATATTATTCATTGGACCATGCAATGAAGCCTTACTGGGACCCCGTCCGTCAGCCGTAAGGAGGGCCTTAGCTGAATACTGTATGAGCTTTCTACTCCGGTAACCTGTCCATGACCCCTTCTTACATCCCATGAGCATATGTCAGTTCGTATCCGGGCGGGAGGGTTAATGGCAACACAGGGTATAGCCTCACATGGTGATACCAGCACATCTCTCGGCGGCCTGGTGGTCCAGTAGTGGCTGGGTAGTCGGTCGCCTCCCAGTGTATAGTGTCCCAATGTCTCGTTGTGTTTTCCCGCCCCCCCCTGATCCCGTCCCTCCCAAGGGTGTCCAAGGGGTGCGTAAATGAACACAAAGAGGCGGAGCAGGAAACCCTCCAGAGTCCCATTTTTCATCTCCCCCAATATAAAAGGCCCATGTACGTTTCCCCTGGTGGACACGATTTCGTCATGTGGAACGCTGCTTTTGGGTATTGTGTCGCCGGATTGTCATGTCGAAGACCAAATCCCCTTCATTCCTGTCCTCGGAATCACAACCCGTGGCAGTCCCGTTTTACCCCCTCCCCCAGTAACCCTCCTCCCAAAATAAACTTTATAATTGTCATGTGCATGTGTGGAGAGGAGAGAGGGTGGCGAAATGTCCGCTTTCCCCCATAAAAACCCCCTAGGCAAGTGCGTGCGGCTCCCCTTGTCCTCCGATTTCTGTCGGTTGGTGGGGGGACCCGTGTGTAAGTCAGAGGTGGTGTATTACCTTTTCAGGTGCTGCCAGGAGCCGGTCGTCGGCATGATGTACTGTACTCACTCTGCCTGTTCTCCTCTCCCCATGCGTCTCCGTGGTGGAGGTCCGGGCGGTGATCGCTCTCCCCGTCTGCGGGCTGCTCTTTGTTGCCTTTGGACCGGCCTAGAGGTGTCCAGCAGCCAGTCGGTAAACTGGATATGAGGCATATTCAAGGTGTCAAGGAGTCGCGGTATTTCATCAGGCCATCTGGCAGCCAGCCAGTTATCTTGGTGTTTGGCCATTAAGGCAAAGGGGAATCCCCATTTGTATTTAATATTGCGTTCACGCAGCACAGTGGTTATCGGTTTAAGTGCTCGCCGAGCTTCCAGCGTGTATGGAGAGAGATCATTGTATAGGGATACTTGAGTGCCCTGGAAGGGCCACGTGGGGCGTTCCCGGGCCTTTCTCATTATTGTGTCCTTGATAGGGAACGAGTGCAGGCAACAGATCATATCCCTTGGGCCATCCTCAGCAGATCGCGGGCGTAGGGCCCTGTGTGCCCTTTCAAATTCGAACGTTTGCGGTGCATCGGTGTGTAAGATAGTGCGGAATAGGTTTGTCAGTACCTCTGCCGCGTTTTCTCCTTCGTCAGCTTCAGGAATCCCCCTTATCCTGATGTTGCACCTGCGGCCTCTATTGTCGAGGTCCTCCAGATTCCTGCGCATATGCAAGATCATGTCCCCTTGCCTGGCTATGGCGACGTCTGTCGCGTTGATCCTGGTAGAGTGGGTTTCTGCTGTTTGCTCCAATGCCTGGATGCGGCCTGCCTGGGTAGTCACCTCCGTGCGGAGCCCTGCCATTTCTGCCCTCAGGGCATCCTGAATGGTAGTGGTCAGGGTTAGGAGATCTGCCTTGGTCGCCATGGCTGCTGCTATGTTCCTCAGCTCTTCCCCAATCCTTTCTATGGCCGTGGGGTCACCCCCCCGGTGCCTGGGCTGAGTGCTGTGCGGCCGGGGGCGGGCTTTCATTCCCGCCGCCATTACCACGTGGCGGCTGCAGAAAGCCGTCCATCGGTCCCTGCTGCGAGCCCGGCTGGGGATCCCTCTGGGTTTGCGGGTGGTCGGAGCGGCGGTTGCGACCCATTTGTCGCACTGGCTGATGTGGGATCGCTGTATGAAGGTACGGGTGCGGCGGAGCTCAGAGTCTAAGCGGCCATCTCAGTCGGAGTACAGGCCACACCTCGCAATTCAGTATTTTTGACCTCATCTGTGTTTTGAACGTAAGCATGGTTTTGTATGGAGTAGAGAGTGTGAATGTACGTGTGTATTTGTGTGTTGTGCTGGCGTTTGTATGCAGTTTTGGCATTTGAAGGAAGGGGTGTCTTTCTATGTGGTGTCTCTGTTTGAATGTAGGGGTGTGTTTTTGTTTGGTGTTGCCATTTGATTGCAATGGTGTATTTGTTTGTTGCACAGCAATTAGATTGCAGGGGTATATCAGCATTTAGTGATAGTTTTGAATGCAGGTGTGTATTTGTATGATGTTTCAGTTTGATTGCAGGGTTTATTTGTATGTAGTCTGGGCTTTTTGACTGCAGGGGTGTGTGCATATGTAGTGTTGAATGCTCAAATGTATGCACATATACACACAGATACCCATACATACTGACACACACAGATATACACAAATATATATACACATACAGATTATTATTATTATTATTGATATGTTATTTATATAGCGCCGTCAAATTCCGCAGCGCTTTACAATGGGTGGACGAACAGACATGTAGTTGTAACCAGACAAGTTGGACACACAGGAACAGAGGGGTTGAGGGCCCTGCTCAATGAGCTTACATGCTAGAGGGAGTGGGGTAAAATGACACAAAAAGGTAAGGATAGTATTAGACTAGTGACAGTTGCAGAAGAGGAATCAGTCAGGAGCTATTAACAGTTTAATTGATACGCTTTTATGAAGAAGTGGGTTTTTAATGATTTTTTGAAGGAGTGGAGACTGGGTGTACAGATGTACACTAATAAATAGATACACACTTACTGCTACACAAACACAGGTAAAGATACATATTGTTACAAAAACCACACACTGATACACATACACTACAACACAAACACAGACATACAAACACACACATAGATACACACTGATACACATACACACTGACACACACGAACATAGAAGTTATATATCAATATTGATAGCCACTTTACAGTTTTTATACCTTTCGGATGCAGGATGGAGGCTTACCTGGTTACCCTGGGGGCTACTGATTGAGGCTTATGCTCTGTGGGATCCAGTAAGTCTGTAGATTGAGGCTGAAGTTCCCTGGCCAAATACAAGACAATAAAATATAGCGCTAAGCAAACGCTGGTTGGATAGAGGTACGCAGCTCATCAATCCAAATCCAGAGCTCTCTAATGCAACAAACAGAAATGTATTGAAGGAGGAGATAGAAGCAGCGCCTTGGAATGTCCTTGAATGTTCATAATACGAAAAGGTAAGAGTGGATCAAGACTTGATAATGTAGTATGTCATGGTTAAATGGGACTAGGATTAAAAATGCAGTTACACTCTTCTGGAGCTTAAAATAAACTCCACTTCATGCGCTTGAGCGGTACAAGTGGGGATTTTACTTTGAATCTGTAAAATACTTGTAGATGCCTTAGAATTCACCCAGTCCAATGAAATCCATGTGGATGTTATCCACCAAATAGTTGCTTTGTATTGTGCTAATTTATATTAACATATATTTACCCTTACCTAATGATAATTGGGTACCTGCTTATAAACAAAAAAACATTATTTTCACCCCTGGTGTAGACCATAGAAAATCCCTTTTTGCTCAATTTATACAGCAAGTATTTCTTATTAAGTGATAAAATGTCATTAATATTGCAATCAAACAATTAGTATGCTTAATGGTATGGACGCTATTCCTTGTTGAACAAAAAAAATGGTGTCTTGTTAACCTGGGCCAAACCGACAGTACATTTTTAACAAGATATGAAATAAAATACAGAGGAAGATATTGTAAGCTATGGTATTCTACAGGGTGATACTGAATGAAGAACAAAATCAGTTAAAGACATTACTATTTCCCCGAGACCGTAAGAAGACACGATTCTTCACGATTAAACCTGGGAGGACCAGATAAAAAAAGATAAAGAACAAGCAAGAAATGACAAAAATCTAATCCTGAGAGATATGCAAGAAGAATATACAAGAGAAATATTACATATCGTTATTTAAGAACACAATGAATACTTTTTATCATAGCACAATGTACAATAACCTTTATTAACACCTTATTAATAACAACCTTTGATTACAATAATTAGCGCATCTACTCCCAAGTGGTTTTAAGGTTGCATTCAGCAATTATAATATATTATTTGGCTGAAACTTACTAGATTTTACAAATTATTAGCCTTTCTTCCAATGTTACATTTTTTGTTTTGTTTTTTGCTATTACCTGGATATTTAAATATGTGTTTGTTTTTATTCTGCTTCTGGAACCTCTCGTTCATATGTTGTACCCCCAGAAATGAACAGGTCACACATGCTGCTGGGTTGACGTGTACCCATTGCTTAGAATAAGATTTACATTTTTTTTTTTTTTTTTTGCACACAGGCATTTAATTACATATTTAGTTATTAGCATTACAGAACCTTTGTCAGCAAAAAAATACTTGATGTGTGGCAGTTTTTACTTGTCCCTTCACCCAGCAATCCTCTCTGGATTGACTCATTATCTTCTATAATAAAATAAGAGGTCACAGGTGAAAAGTACATGTCTTTGCACAGGAAACTAAATTAATCTACCCTAACCTGTTCATTGGCTAAGCAATCTGACAAGTGTGCCTGCATATTCTACCGTTATTAGTGGTGGGATTGTCCAGTATATGTTTATTGGGGAATTTTCCATACTAGAATGGTGGCAATAAATGTGTTATTGTATCCAAGGACTGATTCAGACATGCTACGGACCACAAGCCAACATTACTATTCACATGACCACCAAAGAACGACAAAACTAAGCACAGACATTCACCTCTTTAAAAACCAATCGAAATGTAGATGATGTGGTGAGTACAGAATTAAACTATCAAGGCATTTAGTGACCAGTCACACAGGGCGTAAAAAAAACAACAACCAATCACTTTAATAATCATTGTATTTATATCTTTGTCCATTGATTGGCAGAAATAATGGATATAATAACAATCATGAGGATATTTCTAGTGTATGATTAGCGAAAGAGAAAAGACTAAAATAATATTTTGTAAACCATTTTACCATTATTTTTTTTCCGAAATAAATAGTATTTGTACCCCAAAGCGTACATACGTTGGGATTTCCCAAGATTTCACAATGAGAACAGTTAGAGAGGGGGTTATACCCCTGAGTGTCAGTGGCCGCCATTTTCTTTGTATCAGCTGAAATAACTGCCTCCCAGACTGTAACTCCTACTAATACTGGGCATTAGTGGAATATGTATTTCCAAATGCTACCCTAACTGTGATGTTCTACACTTCATAAACACTAACCATTAAGTGTACACTATTTTAACAGGAACCTTTAGTACTTTTCCCTAGTGGAGCTGTATCATTGTTTGTCACAATATATTGCAAAACTCTATGCAAAATCTGTTCCCTTTCAGCATATCTCTGTGTACGAGTATTATACAGATTAGCCACAAAAGGCATCCCTTTACAGTATACACTCCTGCTGAGTCAATTATTATTTACAGCAAAAAGTAGACAGGCGGCCATCTTATTTGTGACTGTTCAGTGTTGACTCTTGAGAACTAGAGAGCATGTTGCAGATATTTGTTATAAAGTAATATGGCTCTCTCACAGAAATCTTAATTGTAACAGCGTGAATGCCAACACAAATCTCCCAGCATGTGCTTCATGCACAGTTGTACCAGCAAACCATGTGCATGTTTTTCATTGTTGCCATTTTTGCTGTCAATACACAGAGTTCATGAAAAACAGTTTATAACAAGGTTGTTTTCATAAATACTGCGTGACGAATTAAAGGAACAGTCTCTATTTTTAAAAATATTATATTTGTTAGTTTATTAGTTACAAATAAACAGAAGATTACAAAGGAATCCATTTTTCCTGCCCTATATTTCCATAACATTAATCTTTAACTGTACACTATTTTAACAGTAACTTTCAACCCCTACACTACCTTATCGCTTACACACCAGGGGTGCCCAAAAGGTAGATCCACAGATGTTGCAGATCTACAACTCCCATGATGCTTTGCATGCCTTTAGAATGCTTAAGAATATCAAAGCGTCATGGAAGGATCTACCTTTTGGGCACCCCTGCTCTACGCTACCCTAACACTAACCCTAGGCATAACTCCAATATCAATACTAGTAAATAATAAAAAATATCATATAATGTGAAATATACATATTGTTAAAGTGTGTATTAGAAAGAAATAATTAAATTGATGGAAGACATTTCTAAACCACTTTTATTTTAGCATGATGTCCACAGAACACTTCCATACTAGAGTAAGTTAATATTTTATTAATCGATTATTCTCCATATGTTAAGAGAAGAAAGAGGAATTTGAATGGTACAGGAGGGTGATAGAGGGTGATTGGATTCAAAAATACTTATGTGAAATCATGATTTATAGTGCCTCTGTTAGAACTAATTTTTAAACTCTTTTGACACGTTACCCAGCTTATCAAAGCGTTTTGGCAGCCTTGTAATGAATTCCTTGTAAAAGAATTTTTCAAGTGTTCTATGTTCCAACATTTTTGTTCTTGTAAATATCATGTTTTCCAGAAGACTATATCACAGATGTGGAGAAGACAACTCTGCTTAATGCTTTGTTATTAAATGTGGAATAGTGATTAAAGTGTTGGATGTAGATTGGAGGTTGTAAGAGGTGAGGGGAACTGGAAGAAGAAGGCTCGAACAGGCTCAAAAAGTGTATAAGGGCATATCTGGATTTTTTCAGTACTTTGAAATTAATTATCGTATCAATCATGGGAATTGTAAACATGTTGCAGGGTGAAATTGCATAATGAATCACACAGTAACTAAGTAATACATTTACTGAGATGGATTTGTGGTGCAGATGCACATATTATATTTGATTCCCTTTAACCCCTTCAGTAGAGCCTTTTTTTTTTTAAATTAAATAAAGCGTAACATTCATTTGAAGAAAGGAGAAAAGCAGACATAAATTTATGATGAAATTAGGTTTTAGCTATTATTAGCAACAGTTAACGCCACACAAGGCTCCCATATTCAAGCAAACCAATTACCTCCCAGTTTATGTAATTATTATAATTTAGGATTTCACAAAAATATTTTACCTTTTTCTTCTTTTTTACATATCAGCATTTTATCAGTCTATTAGTTGTTTACATTTATTTATGTCTATTACATATAAGACAGGGATATGTGCATATAAGCACGGTAAGTGCCATCTTTGGAACAGTAAGGAGGCACAAGTGACAGCTATAGGACTCAGGCATCGTTTCACTCACTGCACGAGATCCACGGAGGCCAAACCTTCGGCGCATGCATGCGAGAGAACAGCGCTAGAAGCGTCAGGAGCTGAAGCGGGTTCCCAGGATGATTGCGGCAGCCACAAGGGAAATTACCTCACTAAATAGTTGCTCTGATGACCCCCACAGAGTAGTCTCTGCAGAGTTTTCACTTAGCTGCTTTTTGGGGAGCACCTGATTGTAAAATGCTTGAACTAGTGGTGGTAGAAGGAGCTGCAGAGTCAGTGAAAGTTGCAGAATGACAAGGATAGAAAAAAACAGTTGTCTTCTGGGTGTTGAATTGGACGCAAAGGACATACTGCTGATCCTAATATCCTGAGACTGATTACTGCTAATAGTGGCATTGTTGCTAGTGGAGACAGCGGTGGCAGAGGTTGTACTGGAGGCAGTAGTCCTCATGGCCGAGGTGTTCCAACTGTCATAAGCCAAAGCACTATTGCTGTTGGTGGATTGGTTGAATTGAACCCCTTCTCCTACCTTTGGCTTGAAAGTAGCATGTGACATTGATGATAGTATGTTTCTTTTTCTTATTGTAGTAAATTTGGGATAGGAATGATTGCATATTGTATAAACTCGCACACCTTTGTTCAGCAAAAATAAGTGTTTATGGATTAGTGTTTTGTGGATTTACTGTAGTAAAGTTATTGTATTTAAAGTTAAGAAACACTGCACAGTGCTCACAAAATTAAATTAGGATTGTCTTCAAACAGTAAAAAAAAGTAAACACCTTTAAAAACTTTATGTTTACAAGCTAGTCTCACACTAGTCTCACACTAGGATCAATGAACACCACACTCCCCAAGAGAACGATATCTTTCCTCCAAACACGTAACCGTATCTTGTTAAAAGAGTGTCACACTAGCGTGAATGACAAATGCCATTCTCTTACCTACAACTCAAAGTTTTTTATAAAATGACTGAATGTACTAGCTGTTCAATATAGGATACATCTAAAGCTACACTACAATAAATGATCCAGGCTAAGTAAAATATATTTTAAGAACTGTATATTGGTATAATAGGATGAATGACAAAATGCCTATCAAGAGCCAATTTCCTTTCGTATCTCCCACGTAAACCTTGTCTGGTGTTCTAACAGCACTGGCTGCTAGATACAGCCTAAAGCAGGGATGTCCGACCTGCGGCCCCCCCAGATGTTGCTGAACTACAACTCCCATGCTTCCCTGGCTATCTGTTTCATTGAAAGAATCATGGGAGTTGCAGTTCAGCAACATCTGGGGGGCCGCAGGTTGGACAGCCCTGGCCTAAAGCAAACACGCAGTTTTACTGCTCATCTGTCTCCCTCAATAACTGAAGTCAAAGTGTCTGTAAAAATCCTGGAAGTATAGTTGTTTTTATTTTTCCTCCATTTCCCCTTTTTTGGCCACTTCACTTGATCTATTAATAAAATCAGCATTTAATGGCTGTCAACTAACAATCAATGGTTATTTTTTGCTATCTTTTGATTGAACAGGAGAACCTTGATTGGACAGCTCTTGTGTCTGTCATGCTTATTTTCCCTCACCAAAAACAGCATGGCCTCTTCTCCATTGCAACCCCCTGTTTTCCGGTGCCAGAAATTGCAGTCCGAATCAGAAATGAAAACTAGCATATTCAGTCTGGAGTGAGTCGGCTCCCCTGAGAGTCTGGTATGTGGCGGTTTGCAATGGAAAATTTTCCGATCACCCAAATTCGGACAAATTGCAGTTAGGTCCCAAACGAACCAAGTCTATCAGCTTAATTTCTTTAAAAAGTTTATCGGTCCAAGCTCTTTCTGTGGAAGAAAACAAATACGACAGTGTTGGAATAATTGTAAATATGCGGTTTTGTTCTAACTCCATAATTACCAGACCCACAAAGGACAACACGAAAACAATACTTTTTGGTGACAAAATAGTACATTTTGAAATTCACTAAAAAATCTCACTTTAGTAAATAACTCTGTTGATCAAGAAAGGAACTACTTGAAATGAGGCTCCAGCACAAGCAGATCAAAATTTTAACCATGTTTCAGACTTTTTCCAATCATTTGCTAGTACTGTATAGTTAAATGATTTGATCTCAATGTCCCATTTAAAGTGACACCTACTGAGCTACAAATTTGAATCATGTTGTCTTCATGGTTTCTTCATGAGATGTTGATGGGACATGATTCTTACTGACAGTATGTTAAAACTTTACACTGATTTATAAGGATGTCTCAGAGGATAAAGATCAATATTTTTAATATCTTTATTAATTTACAGAATGAAAAAATTGTATCTAATTTACCTGGGTGATAATTAAAATACTTTCAAAGCTTCTTGTAGGCCAATATTTTTGCTACTGAAACACGCAATGTTACACGTTAACATTTCCTAAAAACCTAATGGCTGTAAAAGCCCTGCCACGTTTAAATACAAAATGTTTTGCTACTTCATAAATAAAAGTTTTAGTAATAATAATCATAGCAATACTGTTACTACTACTACTAATGAAATAATTAGAAATAAATAATTAGGATGCATCTTGTTCACACAATCTCCAGACTTGCATATCACAGATTTAGAAATAAATTTGCTGAAGTTAGAATGCACGAGACAGCGCAAGACTGTGCTTCAATTGAATTGTAATTATATACCATTTTGATGTTTTGGTTTTTGTTAATTAACACAATCATAATCGACACTCTGATTACAAAGAGTTTCTGCGGCGACATGTAACTTTTTCCCACAATCAGTATTTGTCTTAATCACGAAGGTGTTTACATGTCCCCATCCTTCATGCTGGTTTTCGCTGTCTCTCCAAATTGTAACCCTCCTGTATGTTTCTCTTTAGTTGTGTTTGTGCATGTCTGTTTCTTTCCCTCTCTCTGTCTCTCTCTTTACATCTGTCTGTCTGCCTCTCTTTCTATGTGTTTCTGCCTCGTGGAATTTGAGATCTACTTATGCCTTGAATTCATTGCTTTTGCAAATATTTCATTTCTAGCTAAATAAAATGTTATTTAGTCTCTGCATCAATGAAAGAATCATCTTAACTTGACGTAATGTTAAACTCAGGCACAGAGAATCTTGAACGACAAAATGCATTGCAGAATTATATAATGATTAGACCGTGGTGGGTATGTCACAAATAAATTTTGTAGAAATATCTGTGACTAATTAAAATGAAATGCTCGGCATCAAAATTCATTGGAGCAATTCAGGAGAGAAAATAAATGCTCTGCCGTAAATTGTGGCTTCTGCACAAGATTTCGTTTTCACGTTGAGTGTTAGAGTAATTCATTAATTGAATCGTATTGAAAGTGGATATGAAGTATCTGGGAACGTTGTAGGACTGCGAGAGATTTGATTGCATCCTGTATCACTGGCAATTCAGAAACAGTTCATATTTAGCACAATAAACTGATGGGTTACCAAATGTCAACAGAGGGAATCACGTTAACCTTTCAACAATTTGGAGGATAGAGTTGTAAAACTCATGTTGCCTAATGACAAATAAATCTATCATTCTCTGCTCATTTGCATCTTGCTATTGACATGTTTATCTTGTGTAGTTTTATAAAGAGAAAGACGTGTATCTGCACTGTGTATGTGTTTCCTTCCTTGTGTGCACATGTACACTGTTGATGCAAGGGGTAATGTTAAAGGGAAAAAAGATATAACTTCTCATAAAGTGCAGTTTTGGGTGACATGTAAAAAGTTCTAAGCAGCCAGACTGGGAAAAAAAACATGTTTCTCATATAATACCAATGCACGGTAGTTTACCAGCTGAAATTCTGCACCAACATTGACCCCTATTGGAGATTCTGGGTATTTAGTTTCATTATTTGTACATTGAAGCTTTAATCACATGGAGGTTGAAATATTGGAGACAGATAATCAAAAGCCAAATTTATTTTAATTGGGAAGCTGCATATAATAGAGTTTCTGGAATTAAAATAAAGATCTGTAAAGGCTTGTTACTTTATTTAAAATTCTAGATTTGTGTCTTACTGTGTTACTAAGTGTTACCTTTTAAACCTATTTGCTACTCAATAAATAGTGTAAGAAATGTCGGTTTTAAAAAATTGAAAATACAGGTTCGCTCATTAAATCAGGTTCCCTAAATCAGGTTTAAGTTGATTATGCTAATTGCCAAAGTGACAGTTGACACATTGCAATAAATATGCTATCCACAACACCTGCTGAGACAAAGGTTACCCATCACTAACCTAGAACATTGTTTCTGAAATTGAACTTGTTTCCTATTCAGATCTAGACTTGAGCATTCAAACAAATTGCAATTTGTCTGAATCTTGGGCAACTGGCGAGTTCCGGATTCCGTAACATAGATTTTCCAAATGACTGAGTCATGATACAAACAAAATTAATAATAAACAAGCCGTTTTGTTTAATTCATGATTCGAAAATTCCATCTGTGGCAGCAGAAAAAAAAAAAGATAGTTGTTGGGGGAAAAAATGGATGGTTAGGGGGAAACCACTAAATAACATTTTTTTTTAAATTTTATTTTACAGATCAAGTGAGTGAGAATTTTTTTTCATGCCTTTTAAAAATATTGTTTAATTCTTACTTAATCTGTGACCCAAATGGCACTAAAATGCTTCTATCAGTGTACTGCAGAACATGTAAATAATATTTATACTACATATTGCATTTATTTAGCATTTTCACAATATTTTGGTTCATCCAAATAATTTTTCACTAGATGATCGCATGGATGAAATCCGTCCGAATTGAAACACCACATAAGGTGAAACCCGAATTGCCCGAAACAAAAGAACATTTTGCCAATTGATTTGGACAAACCACAATTTTTCACTCTACTTAAGTCTATTCAGATCTGAAATCATTCTTAAAAATGTGTCAATACAAATTCTAATGGAATATTGTAATATACAATCTATCAATGCACATCTCAGTTTATACAAGTCACAAATTAATTTTGAATAGAAGGGTATCTGTATAATAGTATATTATTTATTATAAATCCCTATACTGTGGTCCTTAACAGTTCTGTATGGCACATGTTGACAATCCCACTATTAATGTTTAAAGAGAAATATGTGTGTAAGGAATCTATGATTTGCAAAGTTCATATGTTTTAGTGACAGCAGTAAAACCACCAAGCAATAACTGGCATTGCAAAGCAGCAAACTGCAAAGTAAGATGCTGCCCTGGTGGGGCCGGGGTGCCAATGTACCCTGCCCAAGAGATAAGATTGTCTTCCAATACAACACGCATGGCACCCAAATCACACCAGATATTTTTAGAGGAGACTTGGTTGGTTTACTATATCTTATTTCAATAGTTACTCTTTCTAGAGCAGGGGTGGGGAACCTTCGGCCCTCCGGATGTTTTGGACTACATCTCCTATAATGCTCTTGCAGCCAGAATGCTATCAAAGCATCAAGGGAGATGTAGTCCACAACATCTGGGAGGCCAAAGGTTCCCCACCCCTGTTTTAGAGAACTCTTTCATGGAAGAGCATAACATCATTTGGGATTGCTGTTTCTCTCATGCAGTAGTGGCTTGGCTTAGATTTCGATATTGAACTATCCATTTGGGTGGAATATGGAAAATGGTGTTGGCTCTCTTTCCATTGTCATAGTAACAAAGAACTTGTTAGAGACCTGAGTGGCAGTACACAAAGACCAAGCTCCCAAAAAGGTAAATCACACGAGACTTCGTGCTCACTAAGACTAGTGAGGTATTAGCTTCCCCTTAATGACATAGAAATTAAAAAAAAAATTTGATTGCAAAAATAAATATATTTTCTTCTGTTCCTACTCTGCTTTGTTAGTGTCACTCTTTGTGTAACACCCACCTAATGGTGATCCTCGAAAGAAATGGCTAAAGGGTTAGAAAAAGTCCAACCCTAAAGTCAAAATAGGACTAGATGGGCAACAGAATGGGCATAACCCAGAGTAATGAATCAAAAAGAGGATCCCCAAATGTCAAAGGTAGCCGGAAAGGAGAACGAATTCAACTTCCAACACACATTAACCAGAGGTGTGCCCATGCAGAGAAGTATATAGCTCAAATGTCATGATTTATACCGTATCGAAAGAAAATAAAAATAAAAAATCTTTAATATAGAAATACATAGAGACAATAAAAGACAGTAAAAAACACAAGGACAGACAGTGCTACCCTCTAGCGGTAGGTCGTAGATGGAGTCTAGATAGTATAGTGTAAATATATACGGAAAAACTTAGGGCGAATGCCTGGTGTCAAATGGTTATCAAGATCCAGACGATATACACGTTATCTAGATGATGGAGGAGGAAGTCACTCCTCTAGGT